ACCCAACAAAACAACTACAATTATTCCCGAGAGTACACCCAAACACTCCCGCCATCAACGCGACAACCCGAGTATTACAGAGAGGGAAATTCGATTGAATTAATTGAGGGATTAGTTTTACTTTACAAAACTAATGCCAACTAATTACGGGGTAGGTACACAAGTGTAGCAAGAAAATTGGTGAAGTCTTCACTGCTACAAGAGTAGATCTTTGTTATTTCGAACTGAATCCTGAAGCAGATATTTCAAATTTTTGAACTATGAAAGAATTTGCCGAAAAATATAGAAAAATTAACTTGAAAACCTATTCAAATAAGTTCAGTTGAATATTTTCATTTTCAGTATCAATCAAAAACGACCGCTTTTTGTCTCTGTCGTGAAACCAGGGCAATTCTCAATGACAAAATATGGAATTCGTGTCGATGCGAAAGGAGCGATTTCTGACGTGAAATCGTGTCTAGCTGAGGAGACAAAAGTCCCGTTGAGTCAGGTAGGATCAAGAAAATTTACTGTAATTGTTAGAAAACAGTCATTATTAACGTTTTGAGTGAATAATGTTTCAGATGTTGATCCTACAACTATCGCCAAATGGTTTCCGAAGTAACACCCTGGAAGTGTGCCAGGTTTTTTTAAAAAACTTACAACTTGAATAGTATTTTGAATATGTATTATGTATATCTTTTTAGATAGCAACAATGTCAACGCGAGAAGCTTACGCGATCGAGCTACAGCCAACCATCGACACTTACAATGATCAAACAGTGAATGTCGTCTTTGTGATCACCGTCAAGAATGGGCCACAAGTGAAAAGGTTTGTGATGTGGTCGATTTACAAGATTAGTTTGCAATTAAACCACTGAACCAACCAACATCAAGTATTGATTCCACAAGAACATATTAGTATCCTAATTAACACACACAAAAAACACCACAGTAGAACAATCGCCTAACTGTTTTCCTTATTATTAGTTCTGATTTGACGCCAAGATCGATGCTCACCATGGCCAACTGGTTAAGAGCTCTGTATCTTAGTCGAAAGGTCAAGGGTTCAATCCCGCCAGCTAGATTATTCCCGTAAATACTGTACTAGTACCCCACCCCCCTTGTACAGTCAGTTAGTCGCAAAAGTTTTCTAGCATTTCATTTTTTTTCAAAGCGCCCGTACTTTCAAAAAATGCGTCTTTGGTATCAAAAAATAGCCCTGAATTTCAGCTATTTTTTTATATCTAAGCGCGCATTGTAGCATAAACCAGTGTCGAGAAAAACGCGTCCAAAGCTAGACTACGCAACACTCCGCACCGTCATTATGAGGGTCGGGTACTATTACAGTATTTACGGTAGTTCTTTTTTCCCATTTATGGGCTTTCTTCCCTAAATTTAGCGCTCAGAGGTTGTGCTTGTGTATTGTTTGTACCACATTACTCGTGTAAATAAATCTTTCACTTAAATTCCCCCGCGTTTTAGAGAAACCGATCCATTTGTGTTGGCCGTCTCGCGGCAGTGGAACTACGATAATTTATCGCGGAAACTTTTCGAGGCGGCGAGACAATCGGTGAATCCAAAAGTGTTGGAGTCGCTACCCGTCGGACAATACAAATTGGCTTTGGTAAGTTTATCTCGTAAATTTCAACCTTGTTACGGCCTTTTTCAGATTGATACCTTCAACCCGATCACCTATTTGGACCCGAATGTGTCGATGCCATTGTTGACACAGGTGAGACTTTCAAAAAGTGTTTTGTTCAAAAGATAAGTGTTTTGTAAGCATTGTTGACTTTCAAATGATTTCGCTGTTTAGCATGTCGATCAGTGCATTCAACACAACGATCGAGATCATCCGAGATTACCAAAGTTTATTCGGATAACTGTCGAATTCCCACAACACAACAGGTATGCGGAAGAGATTTGAACGATTTTAAGACAGAGCCTATTTTAAGCCTAGCAAAGTTTTAGATCACTGATTCGAGTGGATCTGGATCGTATCATCAACCATCGAAGTGCTGATTGTTTGGCAAAAGACAACGCTCCGTACGAGTTGACACTGCAATCATGTTTGAGTGTAAGTCTAGGGTATTTTTGCGATATTTTAAAGTGAAAAATACATTTATCTAGCCAATAGTCATTTCTATTTTTAGGCTTACACCTCTGAAGAAATCCTTGAGTGGCGTTGTGAGCGATGTACGGGAAAAAAGGCCAACAAACAACTCAAGTTCAACTCTTGCCCACAAATCTTGATTCTTCACTTGAAACGATTCAGACACATTCAGAATGAAGTGAGAAAATCGAAAATTCAGATAAATCCCAGCTTTCCAGATCACTGAACCGATCAAAGTGGATGTTTCGGTGAAATTCCCGATTGAGGGACTGGATATGTCTCCGTTTGTCTCACCGTCAAATCCGCAAAATGGCAAACGGCACAGTATTATTGGGAAAAAGTTCAACAAGTTGGTTTTTTGTAAAATTCTTGAATTTCAATAGCATTTTCTAATCGAAGTTGAAAATAAGTTCAACTTTTCAGAGAAATGCAAGCAACAGTGTCCCATTCTTCCCCCGATGACAATATCTATGATCTCTTTGCCGTCGTCAATCATAAAGGTTTAAAAAGAGAAAATCTTAACTCTATTGAATTGCAAAACTTTCTTTATCGATATTTGTATTTCAAAATTATTTCAGGAGATCGAGTTTCATCTGGCCACTACACTGCCACAGTGAAAAACCCAACAGATGGCGTTTGGAGGACTTTCGATGACACTTTTGTCTCACAGAATACGAATCCAACAGAGCAATCGGAGAACGCTTACTTGATGTTTTATGAGAGGTGAGTGGATGTCGTAAAGCCTTTATTTGAATTCTTTTTTACAACAGTATAGAACAGTATCGAATTGGATCTGATTCAATTCGGATCTGATCGGTTTTGATTCAATTCGGATCGAATCGGTTCTGATTCAATTTGGATCCAATCGGTTCTGATTCAATTCGGATCGAATCGATTCTGATTCAATTCGGATCGAATCGATTCTGATTCAATTCGGATCCAATCGGTTTTGATTCAATTCGGATCCAATCGCATCGGATTCAATCTGATTTCATTCGATTCAAATCTGATCGGATTTGATTCAATTCGGATATGCCAAAACAAGAATAAACTGATAGTATTGAGGAATGCGAGCAAAAGTAACAATATCTTTTATAATATCTTGAAACTAGTGTCGGTATGCTGTATTTTTAAATCTTTAAAATAGATTTAGACAGATAAGAACAATATCTAAGTAAGCTTAACAAAAACTGAACCATTTCCAGACGATCTTGTCGAGCCGAGCGTCAAAACTCCAAGAAAGCGTCAGAAGGACGAAAATTGCCAAATCCTTTGGCCAGGTTTGTATCAAAGCATTAAACTCTTATCAGTTCAAATATTTTTAGAATCCATCTGAAACGCTAGGTAAGATTGCTAGCTAGTTTGGCTCGGTTTGAAAATTCCTAGGTTTTTTGGAGATCCCTGATTCCTGATTTGAATAAAGTTTTTGACGAGAATTAATAAAGAAATTTTAGATTTACTCCACCACGAGAAAAAGAAATGTTGATGGCTCAGAAATCAAATGGATACAATGGAGAACAGATTATTCAACAAAATGGCACAGCTTTTCGGCGAGGTGATGCGACGAGGAGAGCTGCGAAAGCGGCACTTCTCCTACCATTGCATACGAGTAAAACGATGCTCGCCCCGGCAACACATGAGAGTTTAGCGCTCTAGTAGTATTTTGATAGATTTTAGGAATTAAAATCTTACACAACTTTGAAATTTTATCTTTTTATAGTTGCATAGCTTTGTTACTAGATTTCGAATGAATCAGGCCATGTTCAGTTGATCTGATTCAATTCGGATCCAATCGGTTCTGATTCAATTTGGATCCAATCGGTTCTGATTCAATTCGGATCCAATCTTGATCGGTTTTGGTCTTTAAATTCTTTCAAAACTTCTGAAATGGCTTGCTTTGTTTCATTCTTTTACCGATTTTTATACACTAGCACTCATGAGACTCAAATAACTGTAGAAAATAACGGCCAGAAGTTTAAGTCAGCTTAGAGATGATTAGGGTTTTGAAATTTAGCTACAAATGTGAACTAGATGATTGTGAAGCTCTAGAACTCGATGAATTGTATAGGGAATCCCAGAGTCGTCTGGAATTTGAATTTCTGATGACTTTCCAAAGGCAAACATCTTTCCAGGCTTTTGCAAGTTTTGTGTCATTCAATTCATCTTGTAAAGCTCTAGATTCTTAGTTTATTCGTAAAAATGCTCAAAAAACAATTTCTAATCATTCAATCCTCAAATAACATTTCTGACACTGATTCTTACACTGATAGTACCGTTATTTAGACTCATAGCCTTTTATTCTCTGTATCATTTTAGAACCTAGTCTTCTTTTCGTGATTTTTCCTTCATGACTTTTATGTTTAGTCTCATTTTTTCCTTTTTCCTTTTCCTTTTTCCTTTTCCTTTTTCCTTTTCTTTTCCAATCAAGTGCCCTATTCGATGACGCTTTCTAGTCAAAAACTGTTCAGAAATGAAATATGTGATTGGTTTTGTTTTTGTGTGTGAAAACTGTACTTTTCTGCTGTAACAGCATCATTTCCTCATTGCTCAATCGATATTTTTCCGGTGTAAAGAATTTCCCTCTTGTGATTTAAATGCAGAGTTTTCCCGAGAAATCTTTTCTGCTTTTCAGCTTTTCATAATGTTTTCTTTTATGCTTTTAAACGGGTGGTAGTCTATTTGTGTTTTTTCTTTTCTTTTGTTAGTGCAAATGAAGTTGAGCGAAAAAGGAATTGATTTGTATGAAATTGAAATTGAATGCATGAAATTGAGAGAGTAAAGAAACAAAGACTCTAGGATAATGGATTGGCTTTGGAGGATTGGCTAATCCGTAAATTTGAATCATTCTTGAGATTTTGAGAAAACCACAAGTTGTAATCGATAAAAAAGATTTCTTTATGTAAATCTAAAACCGAATCAATCTTGGGTCCATTCGACAAGCAGTCGATCTTTGACCAGTAACACCGTTTGGCAGTTGCAAAGCAGAGAGATCTTCTTGGCTCAATTTCTAAACCCAAATTCAACTGAAAGCTTGCTAAAAAATCTTACGATTTTCAACAAAGCTCGATTCTCTCTCATATGAGAAGCGGTTTTCGATCCCATGACAACACTGAAATCAATTTTCAGAATATTCGACTTTATTTGTAGTAAACCTACAGTACTGGATAATGAAATATCATATTTGAAAAAAGATCGTCACTTTCGCGCGTTTGTAACTCTCTTGTCTTTAAGTTTAAACTACAGGGTGGCTGATAATTACGTGCGCCAAAGAAAACGCCATAATTTAATTTTCTTTCAAAGAAAATGTAAAAATCTTTATTTATATAATAGTTGTAACAAAAGCATTTAATAATCACAAGAAATTTTTGAAGTGGCCTCCATCCGCTTTGATACAGGCTTCAATTTGCTTCTTTACAGAATCGACGGTGCGGCGGAGATAATTTGCATCTAAGTCGTTCCAGATTTTGATCAATTCTCGACGTAAATCATTCAAATTGGTGATTTTTCTATTTCTCAATTGTTCTTCCATAAAACCCCAAACCGAAAAGTCCAACGGATTGAGATCCGGGCTGTTTGCAGGCCATTGATCCTTCGTCAAAAAAGAGCCAATTTTGGTTTCGAGAAAGCGAATTGTTGTTTTGGCTCCGTGGGCCGGCGCCCAATCTTGTTGAAGGGTCAAATTGGGATGGCTCCTCTTCCATGGCACCACAGCTTTCTCGAGAATCTCTTTTTGATAGACTTTTGCGTTAATCTTCACATTTTTATCGATAAAAACCAACGGGGTCTTGCCCGAAGCACTGATGCCACCCCAAACCATCAAACTTTTTGGAAACAGACCTTTTGTAGCGACTTTTCGTTTACGAGTGCTCTTGAGAGCTGGACTGAGAAGTTGACGGTGATTTTGTGAGTTTTTAGCCACTTCCAAGGTGAAAATCTTCTCATCTGACCAAAGAACATCGTCAATGCGCCGCACCTTGAAAAAAGCTCGCAATTTCTTGCATTTCTCCTTCCGGTTTTGCTTGGCTTGATCGGTGAGCACTTGCCCGTTTAACAGTCGATAACTTCGAAGTCCGAGCTCATTTTTTACTATCGATTGAACCGAGAAACGCGAAATTTGAAGCTGTTTTGCCATCTTGTTCAAACTACGATCGTCTTTTCGCTCGATCCTCCTCTTGATGATCCCACGCATCTTTCGGGTGTTAACGGTCCTCTTTGGTCCTCTTCCGGGCTTGGACTGAACATGCCCCTCATCTTTCCATTGCTTTACGATCTTCTGGACGGTCCTCAGAGCCACCCCAAGCCTCGATGCGATCGACGAGTTCTTCATGCCGCTCGTCGCCAGCTGTGCGATTGCGTCCCGACTAGCGCACGTCTTTGTCATGACCTAGAAAACAACTTTTTTAACAAAAAATTATTAGACCACGATAAAAAGAATATTAAAACACAAAAAGATGAGTAGTAATGCTTTATACATTGTTTAAAACTATGATGCTGATGCTGCGCGCACGTAATTGTCAGCCACCCTGTATTAGTGTTATACATTTTTTGAAAGCTCTTTTCAAGGGCTACACAATGGTAATATTAATATTTAGAAATACGGGAAAGACAAGGGAGTTATAGACGCGCGAAAGTGACGATCTTTTTTCAAATATCATATTTCATTGTCCAGTAGTGTACCTTATATCTCGATTCAACGAAAACGCATATTCAAGCATTTTCGGTGTGATGCTGTATTTTCTAGCAATTGTGGTCAACCTTCGATCCACATTAAGCACCTTGTTTCGTGTGGCAACAAGTTGACAACTGAAGGACTGAAAGGATAGAATGAATAGGATACTGGAAATACTGTAAAATTCTAAACCTACTTGGAAAACAATCCCCTTCCTTGCACAATAATCCACCAAATCATTCATTTGATAGCTGAGACTGTATTCGGCTTGATTAACAGCGGGGAAAATCTAAACAAATAAAGCAAGACAAAACTTTGATAAAACCGTTGCATAGCTCAAGAGATCCTCCAAATGATTTATGAGATAATTCGAGACTCCGATCGCTTTGATTTTGCCGAGTTCTGAAAATAAAATAAAATGATGCTAATGATAATGATAAAATGATAAAATGAATAAAATAAAATGCTCACTGTAATACTTCTCCATCGCTTGCCATGTCTTCTTCCTCTCAATCTGATGATGATGAGGATTTGAAGGAACATCGGGACTAGCTGCAGGCGAGTGAATCAACATCAAATCAATGTATCCAAGATTTAACTTGCTCAACGATCTGAATACAATATTTAGTGAAAAATTCAGTCACAAACTCTATAATCGATTGTTCTGCCCGTGCTCCTTGATGATTCCCTGAGATTTTCGAAGTGACAAAGACATCAGCTCTAGAAGTAGTAGGCTTTTGATCGAATTTTGTCAAAACCTTGTCAATCCGTGTTTGTGAAGGAGCTGATTGAGAGCGTTACCGGTGGCTGCTTCGTTACCTAATGAAATGGCAGATATTTGTTCCTTTTGAGGCACTCACCATATAGTTGGGCTGTGTCAAAGGTGCGATACCCGGCCGAAAGGGCATCGTCCAAGACACGGGGCATTGTGCTGAAGTCTCGAACCTAAGGAAAGTTAATTGTTCACGATTATTGTAATATAAAAGTATTTAATAGAAAATTAATGTAATGACAACTGTTAGTCAAAAGGAAATTTATTAGAGTAGGCTACTTATTGACATAAAATAAACCATACTAATTGGGCCGCTTGGTAAAGTTGAAAAAACGAAGTTCTTGTCGAAATTTTCGATATAACTGACTTATTTGTTAGTATTAGGTGTGTGAAAAAGTAATCCACGTTTTTTATTTTTATCTGATGACCAAATAAGACGCTGTTTTCTCGAAAACCCTCGTTCAACCTCTTCAGAAATAGGCCTTACGTTAAATTGTGATGGGTCAACCGTAAGGAAACGCTTGAATGCCATGAATTTTATCAAAAAGTTGGACAAATGGATACCGCATGAACGATAACGTGCGGCCACATGTCTCTTTACAGACTCGACAAAAAATCCAGAGTGTTGGATGGGAGGTTTTCACCTTATAGTCCAGACCTTTCTCCATCTGATTATTATTTATTTTTGTCTCTGTCTAACTTTTTGGCCAATAAACGGTTCAATTCCGAAGAAGATGTCAAAACCGAGGTTGATCTTTTCTTCGCCTCTAAGGACCAAGATTTTTATTATCGTGGAATGTCTTTACTTGTAGAACGTTGGCAAAAAGGTTGTTCTTTCGAATGGTGATTACTTCGTTGAATAAAAATTATTTTAACGAAACTTATGGTCTTTTATATTTAGACGTTAAAAACGTGGATTACTTTTTCACACACCTAATAGTATAATTACGGTAGTTCAATACAAACTTAAAAGTGGCTAAAATATGAGCTAAAGCAACTTCTCAAGACAAACCATAGCCACCCCAAAAACAAGTCGCTCAGACTTTTGCCGAACATAATCTCTTCCACGAAAGTCGTAATCTGCACGAGTTCTGAAAGAATCAAGCTTTCGTAGCAACACAAATAACTTACCCAGATATTAAAACCAAAATTACAAACACTGACAACATGTTAGCAAAAATAGACTGAAATAATTGCTTTTTTTCAATTTAGTACTGATTTTTTTCCCTTGAAAGCCTTAAAAGATGAAAGCTAACAAAGGAAAAGTGAAAAAAAGCACTTTTTGCCGTTTATCATTTCGTTTTTATCTTTTTGAAAGAGATATTGCTTTTTATCGATGAGATTTTTGAGCAATCTTTGTCTAAATTTGTTCAAAGCAAAAAGAAAAGTGTTGAAGTTGATTTCTAAGAGTTTCTTTCGTTTATTTCAATCGCTATTGACATTAGAATTGCATTTTATGAAGTAAAAACGCTTTATGATTTTCTGTTCTTTGTTTATTTCAAAAAAACTTTACTTTATTTGTAGTTGAATTCTTTTGTATTTTTGGAAAAATGGACGACTTTTTATGTTTAAAAATAATAAAGCAGTTGTGAGAAGCGTGACTAATAAGAAAAGTAAATCAAGAGAGCGAGTAAGTCAAATATTTCCTTATTTTTCTACAAACCTAGAAAAGCAGGAAAATATTATGTCTAGTACATCAAAGTGCTGAATTTAGTGCGAAAGAAAGCAGCGAAAAACAAAACACGAGCAACTTGACGTGATTGAAACTATTAACTTTTACCGCGAAAAAACCCCAACCTGTTCAAACTTCAACATAGCCCACGTCTTCAAGAGCGCCAGTCAATCGACTCAACGTTCCCATTCTTTCAGAAACCATGTAAAAATCCATTACTGGTCCGTCGATGAATCGTGTGGTAAGGGGATTCAATTCCTGAAAAAAATGATTGAAATGGAATTAGAAACAAATATAAATTCAAAAAGAGAATCTCCAAACCTGAAGCGTCACACCCTTCACCAGGAGATGTTTCCAAAGACGTGGAGTATTTGCTGGCTGAAGAATGTTGTTCGAGATGTATTGTCGTGCTTGATTGCCCTGAGGGTGCGCAAAACGGTACACCACCCCATCACTTTACAAAAGCAGATTTTATTTAAAAACTATACTGGAGTGCTTTCAGAGTAAGCGGCCCCATTAAATTGTATTTAGCTATCTAAGGATGTTCGCACCTTGAAGAGTAAGCAAAAATTTCAAGAAAAACGCGCTTTTTCGAACATTTTTTGGTCTTTTAAGTACCCAGGAGACGCTTTGTTTCCCAAGAGTAGTCATTCAACTGAAATTTCTCGACTGGATATTTTGAAAAACAGGTCTACATGAAATTTTTCCTGAATATTTTAGAAAGAGAAGAAAATATCAAGGGCCAGAAATTGTTTCATGTCTCTCTATTTCTTTGAAGTTTATTTCAAAGAAACCTTTTTCATTTCAGAGCCCAACCTTTCCGAAAATGAATCGTTCAACTCGACTTTTCCCTCTTTATAACCATTACCGTGATGGCTCGTCGAACATCCAACAAACAAAAATGTTTACCAGTTCATTGTTGATTCATTTTACCATTCACTAATATACAAGTTGCATGGCTTGTGTGATTGTGGATTCTTGTGTCGTCAATGTAAAATCAAATACATTTGTTAAAAAGCATAAGAAAATTTATTGGTGTTTGGAAAGTTTTTTTTTTTGCAGATAAACTGCTATATTTACTATCACGTGATGCATTGAATCCTACAGAAAAACACCTCATTTTAAAAAACTTCCTCAGTTTTCAATCTAAGGACTGCTTAGGAAAAAGGGGTACTGTAAATAGACTTTAATTGATTTCTTTTGAAAGCTACAAACTCGATCGATCGGTTTTCCATTTGAGCCTATTTTCTGTGACTCTGGCTTAATTTCTTTCTTTTAAGTTTCATTGCATGATTGCAAATGATTGCACATCTTTATTCGAATTAATATTTTGAACTTTGAGTTTCTTGTTTGTGGATATCCCTTAGCACACCGGGGTTCGGGTAGTCTGAGTCGTCGCTGCGGTCGTCCCTCCACAATCGCCCGTATCAACGCAAATTTCTGCCACACTCTTTCCTTAAAAGAAAAGATTTTTAAGCAAAAATAAAGCAACTTTGCAAATTGCAATTCAACTTTTCATTTTGAAGCGCTTTGGATCTTTACGGTTAGCCGATATCCCGAGCCGAGCAGATCCAAACCGCTTTGAAATCAAAAGTTGGTGGGTTTTTGCGCTGCTTTTTTCCAGGCATTAACTTTGCTCAGGTTTAATATTTTTTAAATCGGAAATCAGATTCGAAAAGCTAAGGCAATGAAAATACGGGCTCCCAGGTTCTGTATCTAAAAGACACTTTATTTATTGTTTTTGATTGGGTAAAGTTTAGCGAAGACATCCCAATAGCCGCCCGGCTAAACGTAAAGGGCCAACGATTTCACTAAAGGCCACTCAAATCTTTACAAATAGACTGTTTATGAATAAATGCACTAAAATTGTATTTGTAGGCCTTTTCAGGAACTTTCCATGACCCAAAAACACTCACCATTTTTCATATCATCGTATACGACATCGAAATTTCTCATCACCCATCCAACACAGGTTTTAGTCACACAGTATCCATAAAATTGTCCCAATGTTTGACAATCCTACAAAGGAGTTCTTAAGGTAAACATTATTTGATTTAAGTGAAATAATGAATACCTAGATAGTTGGCTTTTGATTTGACTAATGAAACTCACAAAAAGTAGCTCATCTTCGACTTTTGATACGCTCTCGCCCTTTTTGTAGTGATATAGGGCCTGAAAATTTTCTGATTTGGGTAAAATGATTTTAAAAAAGATCGATCTGACCAACTAAAAAATATGAGTTTAGAAGAGACAAAAGCGTTTAATAAGTAGAATATAACAGATTCAGCTATTTAGCCCTGAACACCTTCGCAACAAAGGCTTTTTATTAGAAATCTCTAAGAAACAATTATGGTAATTTTAATATCAACTGATATCTAAAAGTGTCTATTTTTAAATATTAAAAAGAATTTTTTTTTATTGATTTAGAAGAAAGTTATGCAGTTTTCAATGCAAGTGTATCAATTTCAAGTCCGGTATAGCTATCCTAGTGGCAATCAAACGCAGGCAAACTCGGCAACAATCATACTCGCCTTGTATACTATTCTCTTCTCCACTCGGCTACCAGGCCACATTTGCTAGTCGAACAAATAGCCTTTTATGGAAATTACAAAAACTTTTATCTCAAATATTGGGTTGGTGAATTGAAAACTGCGGGACTTTGAACTAAAATTTATTCAACATAAAACCATCAATTCATTCCAAATAATTTCCATTACCATTGACGACTTCTACCCATTTTACAGGCAATTTGCGGATTCCTCTTTCGTAGTAGGATTTTGGTTTGTGTGTGAGACAAGTGTGAGACTCAAAAATGGAGGACTGGAGATGTCCCAGTTTGAGCACTTTCTTCCAAAGAAACCCATTTTGGTGTCAATGAAAAAGTTGTAGAGAATCAAAAATTAGGCTTATAGCCAAATTTCCAAAAAGATACACTTAGTAGTTTCCCTTAAAATGCAAGTTTTGTGAAAATTCGTAAATTTAGCATTCCTTGAAAACCAGTTTTTGAATCGTTCTGAAAATTTGGATATAAGCTTGATTTTTGATTCTCTACAACTTTTCCATTGACACCAAAATGGGTTTCTTTTGAAGAAAGTGCTCAAACTGTCACATATGACAATAGTTTTCAATTCCTAGTGGGAATCAAACGCAGGCAAACTCGGCAACAATCATACTCGCCTTGTATACTATTCTCATCTCCACTCGGCTACCAGGTCACATTTGCTATTCGAACAAATAGCCTTTTATGGAAATTACAAAAGCTTTTATGTCAAATATTGGGTTGGTGAATCGAAAAATACGGGACTTTGAACTAAAATTTATTCAACATAAAACCATCAATTCATTCCAAATAATTTCCATTACCATTGACGACTTCTACCCATTTTACAGGCAGTTTTCAATGCAAGTGTATCAATTTCAAGTCCGGTATAGCTATGTACCGATCATAAATCGCCAAGCGATGTTTCATCATCAAATTTCTTTGAGTTTTTTTTTTGATTCATTAATTTGATTATGAAGCGTTGCTTTTTTTGAGCAAATAAATGTTGACCGAACCTGGTTCATCACGAATTCACACATGCTGCATGGAGAGATCGTTTGTTGCTGAAAAAGTAATAAAAAATCATTGATTGCAGTTTTTCCCGAGAGCTACTGTCCCAAACCTCTGAAATTTTTTTCGACGGGCAGTAGAGTTAGTAACTTTTTAGTGATTTTTTACGGGATTTAGGTGGAAAACCTCCGCCTTTTTCTCGCTACTTTCTTGATCATTAATCATTTTTAACTAAAATAGCACGGTTACCGGACATTATATCTCCGCGACATTAAATCCCAGACATTATATCAGCCATTATGTGATAAAATCTGATGTCCGGGAGATAATGTTGGAGTTTCGTCCTCTTCGGAGTCAATTTCTGGATACGGGCCTGGTATACGTCTATAATTAAAGCGCATACTAACCGCCAAAGCGATGCTGAACAGACAGAAAAGGGCGAGAATCAGTGATCGGCTCATTTGTATGTAGTTTCGAAGATCTCGAGAATCTGAGTGGAGTGATTCAATGACGTTTTGGTTGAGCCTTTTTATACTAAAAATCATATCAGCTAGGTATCAGATCATTTCGTTCGCACAAAGTGATGTCTTATCAAGAAAAGAAATTTTTTTTTGTTTTATTGGACCGGAGATAATGACAATAAGTACAGCACTTTGATCTTTGAAAAAGGGGACAAATTTTTGTTTCCTGTTTTCTCTTTCTCTGTTTCCCCAGCAAAGAATTCAATTTGCATAAGGAACAAATTAGCAAATAAGAATTGGGGAAGGGAAATGGGGAAACAACAGAAATTCTAAATTTAGAGAATCCAATTCACAATTGATTTTACCAGAAAACCGAAAAATACAAAGTCTTCGAAAATCGACAAGAAACGAAGTCAGAAAAGCTAAAGAATAATAATTAGAGACTGTTTTTCAACTTCTCAATCATTTTTGACATTCCATGGAATACTAAGTCAGGTAGTCCAGTTAAAAGTCTTTTTTTGTTAAAAAAATGAAAAGTTTTCTTTTAGACTCTGATTTAGGTTCTTAAAAATTAGAGTTTTTGATGTAGATGTCTATGCGTATCTTGCTTATACAACATATAAACATCGAAATTGAAATGGAAAGCTCTTTTCGAATGTTTAGCATCTTTTAGGATGGATTAGTGAAAGATTTCACTCAATTTTAAGCTAAAAAATTTGAGAAATTACAAAAAAAATGAATCCTCAAAGATTCTTTGAATGAATCCTTATTTATCATCATAGAAAAATTTCAAATGTTGCTTTGAATTTTTATTCAAATTTTCAAAAAGTTTATTTTAATATCTCGAGATAAATCACAAAAATTTCGATAAAGTTTTGAAGATCTTTTTGGATAAAACAAGTTTTTCATTTCAAACAAGAGATAGGAATAAAGGGATTCAATGTTTATATTGGGTTGATGCATAATTATCCGGACTTCTTTTTGCGTGCTTGTATCTTTTTTGTTTTGAAAGCTTTTTGTCTATTTCTTTTTTTTAAATATTCGTTATTCTTTAGTGAACAAAATGCGTGTCGACAATCATATCCATCTTCGCCATATCATGCTCTACCACTTCGAAAAGGGATGGTCTGCCGCAGAGTCGTTTCGCGATCTCAAAGAACTGGAGAAGCCCCAACGGACTACCACGTCAATCGATCGCTCAAAAATTGGCAAACAAATAAGATCTACAACGATTTGGATGACTTGATAGACGATGTTAAAGCGTGGATTGCCTCCAAAGATCGTTTATTCTTCGCTCGTGGAATCGATCGTCTTCCAAGCAAATGGCAATCAGTTATTGATGTAGGCGGTGAATATGCTCCAGAATAATCAATTAAACATATTTTTCTAACTATTTATGTTATTTTTTGTTAAATAAAATCATTTATAAAAGAAGTCCGGATAATTATGCATCAACCCAATATGTTGTATAAGCAAGATACGCATAGACATCTACATCAAAACTGTAATTTTTAAGAACCAAATGTTCTTTTGAATTTTTATTCAAGATTTCAAGAAGTTTATTCTAATCTCGAGAGATAAATCACAAAAATTTCGATAAAGTTTTGAAGGTCTTTTTGCATAAAGCAAGTTTCTCATTTTAAAACAGCAGATAGGAATAAAGGGATTCAACAATTCTAAAAAGGATTCAAGTTTTGATTTTCTGAATTTCAGATTGATTTTTTGATTTTTGATTTTTGAATTTTTAAATTTCTGTTTTTTTTCATTTCTCAGCAACTTTTACCCCCTCCTCGGGGCTAAAAGAGATCTTTTTTGTGACTTCTGGGACGCCTTTCTTTCTTTTTCCATCAAGATGCACTAGTAGCTGAAAAAAATTTCCATTTTAAATTGTTTAAAACTTTAACTTGAGGTGTCTTTGATGAAAATATTCTCACCTCAACTTCTCCATTCTTTTTCAGTTCTTCAAAAGTCACAAAGAAAACGAGATCGAAGTGATTGTTCGGTTTTAGGATCCAGAATTCTTTCTGAAAACGCTTTTTATAAAGATTATATTTGTAAAATTACATCGCATGTACAATTTTTTGGGTCAACAATGATTCGGACGTTTACATGATCGGAGAGATTTCTGATCCGAGCTGAACATCGATATGAATCATTGATTGGAGTGTGGGACAAATCGGAGAAGACGATCTATAACTAAACATGTAAAGATTCAACCCGAAACCCTATATCAATATATCAATTTTACTATAATTAGCTGTGTAATGTAATTTGAAGTTGTCAAAAAACAAAAACACATTGTTTAACTTTAAAATTTCGTTGAACCTCTTGTTGAAGTTGATTTGCATAATTGTGTCTAGGGTTTACAAATTGATGAAGTCGTGTATGATCGGAGAGTGAAGGCGAAGAGCGAGAGGACTGAATTGTATTTGCTGAAATTCAAAGTGAACTTTAGTAGCTTTTCTTGAAAGGCACGCTCTTTTTGCAGTCTTTTAACCAGTCTTTTATCGATCTTACATCCGCCACTTTGCATTACAAATTTTTTTTTGAAAATGGCAGACGTAAAATCGACAATAACGCGTTTACCCCTTAATTTCGTTCTCAAATTCTATCATGATAACTGGATAGTTTAAAAAACTGATATAAAACCACCCACTTCTTGATAGGAAGGTGGTGGTGATCGGGGTCTTGATGGAGGAGGAGAGTTATTTTGTCGTTGAGGGGAAAGCTTCGATCTTGGAAGTTCATCGACAAGTGTCTAAAGAGAATTTATGAAAATTATCATTTTTTTTTGTAAATTTATAACATGTAAGTTCTAAAAATACTTTACCTTTATCACATTGTTGAGCTCTTTAAATTTCTCAGCGATCACTTCGATTTTCATCCCCGATTTGAGATGAGCGTCGAGAAGCGTTTCGATTTCGGTGGGTTGTCGTGATTGAATCAAATTAATGTTTTGTTGGAAAAAGCCCTGGAATACAACAAAATTAGCATATTTTAAAAGATTAGAAAAAGTTTGCAAGAATCTAAAGTTGCATAGTCATTATTTGCATAGGCATTTCCTTCTTTTGTATTCGTAAAAAGTGCACATCCTTTCTAGTGCACTAAACTTTTCTCATTTCTCTTGCTGCAACGGTTTGCTCGAGAAAGCCAAAGTTGATGTACAGAAGAGATTTGTATACATTTTTCAACGAAATCTATACAACTTTCTTGATGATAGATTACATAACGAACCGCTTTGACGCTTTCAATGAGTTTCACGGATTCCTTGGCGCATTTCGTGATCTCTTCAATGTGTGGAGTAGCTTCTTTAAGGATCTTCGTTGCTTGGACTCCACCCTAAAATTTTGGCCTTTAAAAATTCAAATAAATCCTATGCTTCAAGATATTTTTCAACTTCAATTTCTTAACACATTCACGACGAGGTATTTGCGTAAGTTATTTCCCTTTCAGCTCACCTAGCAGGCAATTGATTTACTTAAGTTAGGATGTCAAATGAAGTCAAAATGAAGAGAAATCTTTGAAGATCATTTATCTAAAAACAGATTAAAGAAATATTGAGTCTAAAGAGAGTTATGAACCTTTGAATGCAAATTAATTCGCGACTCACCAGTGACCCAGGAAACTTCTCATGCTAAAACCTTCTGTACTTTCTTTAAACTCAATATTTCTTCAATCTGTTTTTAGATAAATGACTCGTAAAGATTTTGCTTCATTTTGACCCTTAACTTAAGTAAATCGGTTGACTGTAAACGTTTTTAGACAAGCTGCAAGGGAAATAACTTATCCCAAAAATCAAAAAACCTCATCGTGAATGTGTTAATTTCTACTCACCAATTTTTCGAGCACTGTCTGCGCGACTCCCGGACAATTTTTGTGTTGCACAAAGGCACAATGTGAACAGATCGCTTTGGCCAGCATCTAGATAAAAGATAGAGTAAATACATTATAGAATTTTGATTTAAATTTAATGATAGTCAGAAATTGGTGAGATCATCACTCTTTGAAGTTTAACAATTGAACAAGAATTTTGCAACCTTTTAGAGTTCATTCTTTCAAAAGATTGGTTTTATTTTGTTTGAAATTTGAAGATTTAACCTTTTCCTGATCAGCAACATGTCCATGAGCTTCACAAATGAATAGCTTGCTCATCGAGTGTAATAGCTCGGCATCATCACCTTCACAAGTGCTAAAACTTTTAAATTCAAAAAATAAACGGATAATGCTATTTCATTTATTCATGATTTTTTCATTATTGAAATTTTTTGGGTGAAATCTTATTGTTTCGACATTTCTTTGCCCACCTGCACTTCAATTTTTGTCCTATTTCCATTTATTGTAAATGATTTGTGGTTTCTAAAAGTTTATCTAAATATTTCGAACGTGAAATCTTGAAAGAAATTAGTCTAAAGTCTTGAAATCATAAAAAACTGCGAGAATGATAAAAATAAATAAAAATTTAAGTTATTGTTTGTTTTAAAAATTAGAAAAGCGAAACGAAAAGCGAAAATCTTTAAAAAATCAAAAGATTTTCATTGGATAGAATGAAATGAGGCAAAGAGAATGTAAATGCGTCGAGAAATGTATTTGTGTATGTTATGGAATTTTCAAAAAGAAAAGGAAAGAGAAAAATGAAGAAGTTTTGAGAAATCACAGAGAGGAAAAGAACAAACGAGGGAGTAGAAGCGAGAAGATGAGAGTCGCCCGGTTCGCTTGAGAAACATTTCCTGGCGTAATTTTGGTGCCAACGGGAAAGAGTGACAACAAATGACGGCTCACCTAGATTGGACTCTTTCCTTTCCTAGCGTAAGTCTGTGCATATCAGATGGGAAGAGAAGATGGAGCTAGAAGAGACATGGCTGAGCACGAAGAGTATCGAAAAGCCAAAGACAAAGCCTTCTTTGCCCATTTACAAGAGCAAGGGCGGGTTCTTTTACCTCCTATTTGGTTCTGTACTTGCTTTTAGGATCTTATTTGAGAAAAGTTTAATAACTATTGATCTTCGATACAATAATCTATGAAATTTACACAGTAAGTAACACGAAAATCAAAACTTGATAAAGCATAGCAATGGCAAAATGACAGAAAGTAGTAAACATGAATAGCTAGATAATTTACATGATGTCAATGTGATGATGTCAATTACACGATCATTTTCGGTAGGCTGAAGAGTTTATCATTCAAACTAGCATATTTGCAGTACTCTTAATTTGAGCCGATTCCAAGTAGTTGTTGGCTGATTGGCTGGCCAAGCCGACAAGCTGATTATAGTATTTTTGTCTGGCCACTTTATTTTACCGTCGATTCAGCCAGATTCACTATGTTTTTTTTTGAACGTTTTGTATATTTATTGGGCACAATCAAAATCAATTGATGGCTCTAACAGACAGTCAGATAGGTTTTCAAAATTATATAGATTTATTAGATAGATTTATTTGCAAACGATTTTATAAGGAAACGAGGGGAATCTGACAAAAACCTACATGAATGGTAAGACATTGATGATCAAAATAATATTAAATAATAAATATTACACTGATTAAACGGGGGAAAACGCAAAGAAAATTAAGATAATTGATCATTGGATTGCCAAATGTAAATCCGGAGAAATTGTTGATAGTGTTGATAGTAATCAAAACCATTAAAAGACCTTAGGCAAATCTTTTGTCTATCAACAATCAAAAAGCAGCAACCATTTTCTTTATAAACAGCATAACGACAAGTGGATTCATTCCATTCAGCTGCTTTCTCTTCCATTTCTCTAACCACAGCAGGTATCATCTTGCTTATGCAACTGCGCTCCACTTTGCTGCTGAGTGGGAAAAGTCTGGTGATGTTTTCGAAGGCGAATCCATATGTGTAATAGGAAGCAAAATGTAAAATGGCTTTTGAATGTTTTCCCGGGAATTCACTCCATCGAATCCAGTTCAACATTGCGTCAAAAGCATCCACGGATGTCAGGAACTCCTTGAAGTGACACGATGGCAAAACGCGCAGAATCGGGTCGATATTTCGCAGAGAGTTGGTCGCAGAAAACGAAAGATTTTCAGTGTATCGCGAATGTTTCTTGATAAGGCCAGCGATCATTTCAATCGACTCGGTCTCTAACACTGAACTCGATACCAAG